GTTCACTGGGGTAGACTGTTCTAGTTCCACAAGCCATGTCTAATGGATGTCAGTTATCAGTTGTCTCCTGTTAATTCCCCTCTCCAAGTTCTCCACTGCCTTAACCGGGTATTGAACTCACACTCAAGGATACATGACACAGTGGATAAAGGTGGCTAGATACAGTGACAGGACCCAATATTATTGGGTGTTGGTTTTTCCTTTTTTTACTATTAGGGCTTCCATAATTTTTAATCTTTTTCTATATGTGGATGAGCCTATTATATATGTATTTTCTACTAGTATGTTTTGAATGGAGTTTGGTAGTTCTTTGTTTTTGCTTAAATGATTTTTATGGGGTTAGGGTTGGATAGGTGTAACGTGAGCCGTCTAGATAGTAGTGTGACCAATGTAATTATTTATAAGTTTGGTTTAATCAGGAAAATAGTTCCTTAACGGATATTTGAACTTGTAAATAATTTTGGTTCTTTGTAGTTTTGATTTTGCAGGTGTGTTGTCATTTTTTATGCTAAAGTTGTCTGTTTTAAATTTTTTGTAATAGATAATTTGTCATGTTATGGTCAACTGGGGTTGTGTATTTCTTTATGATATTTCTAAGAGAAAATTTGTCTTGCTTATGGCTGACATGTATTTGGCTTTTGTAGGTTTTTATGTTATTGCTTTTATATGTTTTTCACTATTGCTATCAGTTACTTTAGAAAGTAAATCTAAACTAATCTGGTGATCGATGAGGTAGTTAGGAAAACCAATGTTAACTAGCGTCTGTTTTATATTATTGAGTTCTTTAATGAAAATTGGACAAGAGGATGAATTCTCATGTGCTCTCTTCAGGAATTTTTTTTATATAACTGCAATTTCATATCTAAGTGGGCATTCATCCTTAAAATTAATGTAACAAGAGTTTCTGCTAGTGTTTTTGTTATATAGTAAAGTGATGAATGTGTTATTACTGTATTCCACAAGAACGTTTAAGAATACGATTTTTTTTTTTTTTTTTTACTCAGTTCATAGGTAAAGTTTAGGACAGAGATTTTTTTTATGTGGTTTTGACATACGTCTTCTTGATTGCAAACCAAGGCTGGAGAACTAAGTATATATATATATATATATATATATATATATATATATATATATATATATATGTATTTATAAAATATTTATGGGTAAAAAGTGCATACTATCAGGAAAATAAAGTTTGTAAATATAAGAATTTACACTGAGGTCAACAACGAATGGAGAAAGTCTGTTTGATGCAATTTTCAGATCTGAAGATTATACATAAGTATGGGTATATCATATTACGTCTTGTTAGTGAAGTGATTTCACCATTAATCACATTAACATTGCTATTTAATTCTTTGTATAAATTGTTTCTTTATGATATAAAATATAAGCCACATTAATAATATATATATATATATATATATATATATATATATATACGTTGTGAAAGAAATTTCAGAGATGCAAAAAACAACAGAAATAAGAGTTCTTGCATATTAGCTGGCCTTTTGACCAAATGAAAGCATGATGAGAAAATATATTAAAAATCAAAAATTTCGGACTCACTTGTGTCCTTTTTAAGCAAGATGAGAAAACTAAAATGATCAAATTTTTTCCAGGGAGACAAGGGGGGGTCACGTGTGTTACACTACTGAAGAGATCTAATACTTTGGGGCTTGTTGTTTCCTATGATTAGGGTTGTAGACACACACACACACACATATATATATATATATATATATATATATATATGAAGAAATATAGCTTTAGGTATGCTATATTTATAAGACAACGGGCTCTATATCAGAGGTTGAGCATATGTAAATTTAAAAGTGAACATTGAAGTCAACACTCAGATACGGCAGACTGTTTCATGATAAACAAGGTCTGATGATTGCGTTTATCATGAAACAGTCTGTCACCTCTGAGTGTTGACTTTGTGTTCACTGATATAAATATATTTACATAAATAATATATATATATATATATATATATATATATATAGAGATTAATTTAAACATTAAACATACGTATATATATATATATATATGATGTGTGTGTGTGTGTATTTATAAAAAAATGTTTAATGTATGCTATATTTATGGGTAAAAGTACATGCTATCAGGAAAATAGTCTAAATATAAGAGTGGACACAGAGGTCAACAACGAATGGCGACAGTCTGTTTGATGCTATTTTCAGGTCTGAAGATTACGCATAAGTGTGGGTATAACATGAGATACATGAGATATTATGTATATTCCTTAATAAATATTTAATATTTCTGTTATATAACATTGAGCACCGTTTTTATAACACCAGAGTAAGAATATATTTGTACATGCAAGTATATATGTGTACATGTAAGTTTTTTTTTTTTATCATACCCATATCAATAATTTGTACATATTGCATAAAACATTTGCTCCATATCTGGAGAGAGTGTAGATATCTGATGATTGCTTAAGGTGTGAAAATGATGTTGTTGTTGTTGTTTTTCTTCATCATTATCATCATAATAATAAAATAAAAAAGATACTTGGGTTATTTACTCAGATTTTAGTTTGGTTTAGTTTCTGTTTAATAGCACATCAACAATTAAGGGGGTTATTTAGAGCCAGGCAAAGTTTTTGAATCCTCGTTGTTTTTGGCATTGCTTAATGTTATCTGTTGATCAGTGATAGTTTTACGTACAGGTTAGATGGTGAAAGGTTTTTTTTCTTTTTAATCAATTATTAGAGATGTTGATTTTGTCTTCCATATCTGATACAAGTTGGTTATTAGAATTTGCATTGTTATTTTTAGTGGAAATAGATATGAAGTCTGAAGGTTTCTTTCCATCTCCCCCTTTTTTTCAGTTTTCAAAATTTAGTAAAGGTTTTGTGTAGTTTTGTTGTAATTTTTTATATTTTCGTATAAAGTTTGATTTCCTTTAAGAAGTTAGCAATATTGTTCAGTTTATTATTTCGAAATAATTCTTTTGTATTGTTTGTTTGATATTTGTTTGGTTTTTGGCTTGAAATAAGGGCAATTGATGAGTATATGTTCGACTGTGAGAGTTACTCGACATGAGATTGTAGCAATTGGATCAGACTGACAAACAATTATGGATGACAATTTTTCCATCTCAGTATGATTTTTATATATATATATATATATAAAGATCACACTGAGATGGAAACTAGCCATATATATATATATATATATCTGAAGATCACACTGAGATGGAAACTAGCCATATATATATATATATATATATGATAACAAATGGAGTAGAATTCCACAGTCCGTAACATTTAATTTAAAAGTGGGTACAATACAGATATTTGTTTTTTATTTTAATATCCTAAAATAAATAATTATATAAGGATTGAGTGAGATTGAAACGAGAAAGTTAGATTTTAACTTACATCAAACATTGCACTTGGGATTGCAGAATTATCTCCTGGGGTTTCTAGACCAGATTCTGAACCTTGGAAATCAGAGAGTTTCATTTTCCCCATTGACTGAAAGACAAAGAGATATGAAAAATATGTGATAGATAAAAACAGATCGAGATAGATACATAGATAGATATTGACAAGAGTGACAGACAGACAGACAGCTAGATATTAACAAAAGATGGATAGAGATAGAGAAACAGATAGATATTAACCGGAGATAGATATATAGATGGATATTGACAAGATAGATATTGGCAAAACATATAGGGATAACTATAGATAGATAGATAGATATTGACCAAATATAAATAGAGAGAGGGACATATTGACCAAAGATTGATAGATATGAATAAGGATAGATATTGACCAAACTGAGATAGATAGATAGATAGATAGATAGATAGATAGATAGATAGATATGTAAGGATACTGATTAGATAGATAGATAGATAGATATGTAAGGATACTGATTAGATAGATAGATAGATAGATATGTAAGGATACTGATTAGATAGATAGATAGATAGATATGTAAGGATACTGATTAGATAGATAGATAGATAGATATGTAAGGATACTGATTAGATAGATAGATAGATAGACATATAAAGATACTGATTAGATAGATAGACATGAACAAACGTAGAGAGATAGATATGAACAGAGACATATCATTTAATATTAAACCAAAGTGAGATATATTGATCGATATTGACAAAAGATAGATAGAGAGAAACAGATATATGTTGACTAAATGTACACACACACAAAAAAAAAAAAACACGTGTGTGTGTGTTTGGTCAATATCTATCTGTTTCTCTCTATCTTTTGTCAGTATCTGTCAATATATCTATCTCACTTTGGTTAATTTTTAACTATCTATCTCTGTTCATATATATATATATATAGAGAGAGAGAGAGACAGACAGACAGATCAACCATAGATAGATCTACTGGCTAAAAATAGATACAGTGATGTTGATCATTCATAGAGAGAATGAGAGATATTTACCAAATAGATATAAAGAGGGAGAAACAAATAGATATGTACCAAACATAGAGAGAGAGAGAATCAGACAGATATTGACCAAAACATTGATATATATATATATATATATATATATATATATATATATATATATAGAGAGAGAGAGAGAGAGAGAGAGAGAGAGAGAGAGAGAGAATGTCAGATATTAACAAAATATTGATAGAAAGAAAGAGATCAAGAGAGAAACAGATAAATATTAACCAAACATAGATAGATCTAAGGTAATGAAAAAATCCCAGCGGGACTGGTGGGGATGGGGTCATTGCTCTTGACCAATGCAGGTGCATTGCACACACACACCAGTCATAGCCCGAGCAGTGACAAGGAAAGATGGTGGTGTCGAAACAGCTTGTTTGAAATTGTCTACTTTATGACTTTAAAGTGGGATTGTCTACAGCCACATGAGGTTGTCGATTATGTCAAGCCTTTAGGGATAATGCTATGAGAGAATGCACCATCAGGTATTTTTATAATAAATAAACAATGGAAAGGACATTTTTGATTGCCTTATAGATAAATAGAGAGAGAGAGAGATTGACCAAACATAGAAAGTAAGAGAGAGACAAACAAATATTGACCAAACACAGACAGAAAGAGAGAGAGAAACAGATATTGACGAATCATAGAGAGATAGAATAAGATACATTGACCAATCACAGAGAGAGAGAAACAGACAGACAAATAGAGATATTGATCAAACAGAGAGAGAGAGGTGGGGATGAGAGATATTGATAGAAAGACAGGAAAAAAACATCTAGTTATTGGCCAAACATATAGAGAAACATACATATTAACCAAACAAAGATGGAGAGAGAGATGATGAGAGAGAAACAGATATATATTGAGCAAATACAGAGAGAGAGACAAACATAGGTAGAGAAGCAAATATTGATCAAAGATGGAGAGAGAAAAATACAGGTAGATATTGACCAAACATAGAGAGAAACATATAGGTAGATAGATTCCTTAAATATACTCGGTTTTATAAATAAATTCCTTAACATTTGCTGCATTATGTTCAAAAAGTAATTACCATGTCTCCAAACTTTTGCACATGACTTGTGTTCACTTCCTTCTTGACGATATCATATTGCTCCAGGATGCTTGTTTTTTTCAAGGACACCTGAAAGAAATTACAATTTGGCTTCATGAATCAATCTTTTCACGGGAAATGGCACATTGACTACTATATAATGGTCATAAAATGCCAAACAAATATCTGAAATAAGTTTCACCTTATCTGAATTTTCCATCCAAGTGACACTGAAGACATCACCAAGATAAGTCTGCAACTCACTGTCATAGTAGCAGGCATATGATGGCTCGTTTCCATTGGCTGCAGTCACACCAAAGACTACAAACAAGAAATAATAATAAGATTTGTGCCTCATCTTTTAACAGAGATTTTTTCACAGTAGTCAGAAGAGCAGATCTGTGTTAGTATTGGGAATTGCTGCAGACCCTTTATATTAATTCTAAGCAAGTTTTCCTCTATAAGAAGAAAGAATTGTTCCTGGGTTATAATGTAATCTCTAAAAATAATCAGGTGAGCGCATTTGTATTATTATCGGGAATTGCTGCAGACCATTTATATTAATTCTAAGCAAGTTTTCCTCTATAAGAAGAAAGAATTGTTGGTGGCTTATAATGTAATCTCTAACAATAATCAGGTGAGCCCATTTTTATTATTATTGGAAATTCCTGTAGACACTTTATATTAATTCTAAACACGTTTTCCTCTATAAGTAGAAAGAATTGTTGCTGGATTATAATGTAATCTCTTGTATTTTTCTCTTTTTTTCAGTTCTTGTTCACATATGTGTTTTGTCTGCAGTTGAGCTCTGAAGTGCGAGGAGTGATAACTGTTTAGCTTTTTTTGTTCTTTTTTTATAATTTTTGATTCAGTTTTACAGAGTAATATTTTCTAATTGCCTTTGCTCTTCCTTTGTTTATATTTGTATATATTAAAATGCCACCTATACAGGGTTGAATCCTTTTCATTCACTTTATATTCCATTGGTAAAGAGGAAGATTGATTTGAAAAATGTCTTCCTAAGAACTGCTACTTTGTAAAACAGACTTCCACGAAGATGCTTCCACTATATCTGCAATCATGAGTCAACTATTATCAACCGTCAACAATCTCATTCAGAAACCCTCTACCTTGAGTGACTCTTAGGCTTTTTATTAGGTGAACAAAAAGTCATCCATTTTTAAAGCCATGATAAAAACAAAGGGCAAATTTGGACCTTCATGCTTGAAAGGAAACATTGTTTCAAATGGACGGTTTTTCCCTTGACACTGCTATTATTTTAACTACCTTCACTCCTTGACAATGTTTATTATTTAAAAACCGATGATTAGAATTGGAATAAGACCTAAACATACGATGAAAGATATGCAGATGTTTAGAGCAGACACAGAAAAGAAAACCACGAGGACACTACAAGAATTCTTGCAGAAGGTAATGAATGAAAGCAAAAAGAAAAGAAATTATTCAGCCTATATATTGAGGCGATTCTGAGAGAATTAGAAAACCTTTCAAGATTCATTACTGGCAGCCACATATGTTTTTATTCTGTTTAATATTATGAAATAAATTAGAATTTGAATAAGACCTAAACCTATGATGAAAGTGAATTTATATTTTTTTCCTTAAGAATTTACAACAATGTAGCAGGAAAACAAGAAAAAAATCTTTAAAGTTCTTGTTGCAATTAATGGCCTGCAATCTGTTTCTTTTGTCTCTCTTGTCCACAACACTTGTAGCCAATTCAAAGTTCAATAAAAAATATATGTCATTACTGTCCAACAGGTAACATAGTAATGACTGTTAGAAATCTCACCTTCACTTTGCAACAGCATAAATGCACATTCGTCCACCAAGCTAAAAAAAAAAATCATTCTGCCGATAAGCAAAAAACGAGCAATTTTTTTTTCTGATTCACGCCATTCAGGGAGTATAAGAACATTAGCATTTTTTCTCTGATACTTAAAGTAGCAGGTTTTTGCTAACTATTTTCTTGAATTCTTCTTTGGGAGACCACGCACAAAACCCGAGCTCTTTTTCAAGGTTTTGAAGATCATCAATAAATAACCTAGTTTTAATTGGAGATTTAAGAAGGGTACATGCAATTATCTCAACAACCAAACACTCTACTAAATGCAAACTATATGAATAATTACTAACGAAATCACTAATCAGTACTTACTGTTTATGTCTTTCGGGAGATTTTTAAACATTGAACCTGATTCGCAAGCTTCAATATAAATCAGCATCTGTATGTAAAAAGAAATTTGAGAATATATCAGAATTTTTATAGTGGATTTTAAGATAAGGTTTGTGGCTAGAACTGATCGGAACATACAAGGTTGGATCCATGGAAGGCCAGTTCTGACCTGTACTTGGTCTTTTGACAGAGAATTTTTCACAGTAATCAGCAGAGTACATTCAGATTACCATCTGATATTTCTTAGGACCATTTATATTAAGTCTAAGCAGCCTTCCCTCTGTAAGCAGACAGAATAGCTCCTTGGTCTAAATGTAAACTCTGATTTTCTGGTTGTCATTTTTCTCCTCTTTTTTAGTTATATTAAACATTTATATTTTTGTCTTGGATTGACTATGACGAGCGAAGAGTGATAATTAATTAAACCTTTATTGTTGTTGCTTTTGTCTTGTTATATTTTTCGATCCGCAATTTTATTGTGAGTATTTTTTACTTATCGTTATTCTCACCCCAAACTTTGTTTTATTGTTTTTGTATACTTCTATAATGTCTACTTTTAATGAGCCAATTATCAAACCCATTCCTTCTTTGGTAAGAGAAAGGGCTGAAAAAAGGCAACACAATGGTGAATAAGAAATGGTGTGTATTAATTGATATAAATTATCTCCCTTAAGCATGGCAAGTAGAAAGAGAACAAACTCCTTCTGTCAATTGAATAAAGGGTTTGGTTTCAAATTCTAAAAATGTTACTGAATACAATGATAGACATTTAAACAAGGAAATCAAAATTTTGTTATTTTATTCTGAGGGGAGAAATGTTTTATAAAATAACAAAATGTCTTGCATTTTGATTTCGTTTTGTATCATCTTTTTAAAAAAAAGTATATCAATTAGTATTGATACCAGCTTGCGAGATAAAAGCATCACTTCACTGGTTGGACGAGGGCTCCTAACTCACTACATTAAACAAGAGCAGATAGATTTGCCTATTATCCTGTTCACACACCACCTTGGTCTTTTGAGCAGTAGTAGAGGTTTATTCCTTGTTTCCTGTTTAAGGTTGGGTTTCCGGTTCCTTCTAAAGTCTACTTTAATTCTCTTTAACTCCTAGTAGCCCTTTGCATTTTGTGGCATTATTGCCTTGCTTGTCATGAATTGATTAAAAAATGAAAGATATTATATATATATATATATATATATATATATATATATATATATATATATGGTATTACAAAATAACTTTTTGTTTATTTCCTATTTAAGTTTGGGTTTTCGGTTCCTTTTAAAGTTTTTATCATTCTCTTTCACTCCTAGTGGCATTATTGCCTTGCTTGTCGTGAATTGATTAAAAATGATATAAAAGGAATTTGTAGGTCTGATGAATTGTATCGTATTTACAATTCCAATGGAATAAATTATGACCATGGAATATTAGTGTTTAAGCCTTTTATTATATCCTTACTCTGTCCTAGACATTGAGTTCTACCTGGATTCTTCCTCTTGGAATTTTATTCTAAAAATATATATATATGGGTATTTATATATTTTGCATATGTATGTATATTTTCCACTAATATTATATATATATATATATATATATATATATATATATATATATATATATATTTGCTATTACAAAATAACTTTTTGTTGTTTGTTCCCTATTTAAATTTGGGTTTCCAGTTCCTTCTAAGATCTTTTTCATTCTCTTTCACTTCCAGTAGACCTTCAGTTTTAGTGGTATTATCGCCTTGCTTGGCATGAATTGATTTAAAAAAAACCTATGATTCTTTGAAAAAAATACAATACCTTGGCATATTTCTTCTCATTGTGCATATTTTTCAGGGCATCAAGGAACTTGGATGCGTAGAGCTGAGGAAACAAAAACAAAAATGTTAGTTGTGTTAGTAGTAGTATTAGTACCATCATATTTATAATGTCCTTTTTCATTCATCAAACGTTACAAAGAGAAGCCAATATTGTTTTTATCAAATAGTAGGGCTCAAGAAAACGTTTTCAGGCAGCAGCAAGAGATTGGAGATAAAAAAAATATTCTTTCGAACTAAACGTACTGCAGAAAATTAGTTTTCTGGTCTTTTCATTGGCGCCTATCCAAAATAATAAGTCACAGTCACAATTTTTGCTGCCAATACACACACACACACACACATATATATATATATATATAGGAATCGCAGAGCTGAGTTCGAATTCCAGTCGAATCCATTACATTCACTTACGTGCTAATACCCTTGGGAAAGGTATGAATCTTCTTCCTCTCCCTCCAGCTATGGGTAAAATAGCAGAACAGACTGGGTTCTATAGCCTTGGATGGCAACTGGTCTATGAGAAGAACAACTCTGAATTCAAAAACTTGCGGAGGGTCGTTTGGGGACCTTGTGGCATTCGGTGCACCAGGTCTCTTGTATTCGTCCCTTCAAAAAGTGTGGATGGTCCTGCACAAAACCTTCACCACTATAATCAAATCTCATGTGCTGGTGTCGGGCTGTCGGTTTCCTGGAAACTGATATATATATATATAATAATAATAATCATAATCGACTCTCTCGTAGAGTTCAACGTATGAGGGTCAAACAGATCAGTTCCCAGGAAAACAACAGCCCAACAACGGCACATGAGCTTCGATTATATTAGTGAAGGTTTTGTGCAGGACCATCCACACTTTTTGAAGGGCCAATTGCCACAAGGCCCCCAAACGACCCACCGCAGGTTTTAAATTCAGAGTTGTCCTTCCAGACCAGTTGCCATCGGTCCAGTCTTTCCTGCTATTTACCCATAGCTGAAGGGAGAAGAAGAGGATTCACACCTTTCCCAAAGGTATTAGCACGTAAGTGAATGTAATGGATTCGACTGGAATTTGAACTCGGCTTTCCTCAATCCAATATTTATCCATTACTCTACCGTGCCTATATATAATTAGACATCCATGGGGATTAGTCATTTTTTGTAGCTTATACCCTGCACATTTCCAAGAAATAGGACTCAAGATAAACATTTCCAAGACAGAAACAACGATTTGGAATTGGAATGAAAGCAGCGATGGCACCAACCCTGAATCCATCATAGAAATTTAGGATGTGGAGTGAGTAAATTCTAAAAACTTTAAATGCATTGGTGTATGGATCAGTGAAAAAAAATTTAATAAGAGATAAAAATTATTTTCACTATTTATATTCGGACTAAGGTAATAGACTCGTGTAAATAATAATAAGACATTATCACAGAAATTCAGACAGAAGGCGAAAGGGTGATAATAACAATGAAGATGAGGATGTTAGTTTGTAAATAATTATAACTCCAGATCCCAGAAATTCAGACAAGGGGATCTATGGATCTCAAAGACCATCTTTCTTTGAACCTTGTGGACTGGTGCTACAGAACAACAAGCAAAAAACTGTACCTCTTAACAGAAACCATATCGCTTGAGGGCTTTTAACAGCTAAAATGAATATCACATGTAATGCAAAGAGAAAATGATCAAAATGTTGACATTCCACACTACTTCAAACAAAAAGTTAGATAGGAAACCCCCATCAATCATGGAAAGAGCGGTAACAGCAACTCAACTTGAAAAACTATGTGGGTATAAAGTGAGGGATCAATTTTATCTTTCAATCAATACGTAAACTGATCCCCCATTTTGTGACCGCGGTAGTTTCTATACCTTGTGGACTTGCGCTACAGAATCACAAAAAAGGAACTGTACCAAGTAACAAAAACCACACCCTTGTGGACTTTCAACATCAACAAATGGATATCACATGCAAGTCGGATAGGAAATAATGGCATAATCAAGACATTCCCCACTTCTTCAAACCAAAGGTTAGGAAGGAAACCCCCATCAATACTGAAAAGATCGGTAACTGTTAATGACTTGAGAAACCTATTTTTCTGAAAAAAATTGTTTTAAGATAAAGATTTTATAAATTTCAATTGAAAGCACAAGTGACTGCTGGGTCAATGAATGCTGAATGTTTCCTTATAAGGAAGCAACAAATATTACAATAAACATTATTTGCCTAAGCTTGAATTTAACAAAAAAAGGATTTCCAAAATTTCATAATTAAATTTTGTATCCATCTGCAGATTATCCAAATAGGTAAAAAAAAAGATGATTGATTAGTAAGGAGAAAAGATAGATGTTAAATATGGCATTACTTTGAGCACTAGTGATGCACTATATGCACAACATATATATATATATATATATAAAATAGACTTACGTAATCATCAGGGAATGCAATAAGGCCAGGTGCACCATGGTCAGCAAAAAAAACAAAGATGTGGTCATTGGGTCCACTGTCCAGAAATTAAAAAAAAAAAAACATGAGTTGAAAGATATAAACAAGAAAACAGATTGCGTGCTCTCTCCACACTAAATAATTTTTTTATAGAAGACTATAACTGATACGAGTTATCTCTCTTTACGCATGACAAGTGGCATGGGTACGATAGACTGGCACTTAAAAATGCAAATCAGATTATGCGCTCTCTCCCAACTAAATAATTTTTTTTATAGAAGACTATAACTGATATGAGTTATCTCCCTTTACGCATGACAAGTGGCATGGGTACAACGATAGACTGGCACTTAAAAAAGGCAAAATTTTATTATTTTATTCTGAGGAGATAAATGTTTCATAAAATTTCAGTCCATCTTGCATTTTACTTTTGTTCTGTATCTTGTTGAAAAAATTTTTTTACAGTGAGGTACACTTTATACAAGGCCCGGGAGCCACTCGAGGTAGAGGCTTGCAGAGTAAGAAGCACAGTTTATGTGGATAGGTAGGGAAGATAATAGTTAACCCTAGACTTGTAAGTAGTGAACGGGAAATCATCCTCTTTGGAGTTGTCTCCACAGAGTAGTGTTTCATGGGGGAAAAGCTGACGCTGGAGTGAAACTTACTTCTCACCAATGGAATACGGAAGGCATGAGGGTGGTTTATTAAACTGTGCTTAGCATGGCCGGTTCGAGCCGTGAATGTTATAACTGTTGGAAATAAGGAATGTAGTTCGCCTGAGCACTTTCCGTGGAAATAGCGATAGAACAGTATCAATTAGTACTGATAGAACCTCATGAAGTAAAACATCACTTCTCTGGTCAAAGCTAGGACGCCTGACTCACTACCCTAAATAGGATTAGATACGTGTGTCTGTCACCCAGTTCACACTCCTCCCTAGTCTTTTGAACAGAAGTAAAGGTTTATCAACGGATAATGACTTCCTTCTAAAGAAGTAATGAATTTATTTTTTAATCTGATATTTTTATGATTCCAAATGTTATTTTTAGTGGATACCCGTACTTGAGTAAATGCTCTGTTTATTTCACTTATTATTTACTTCGTCTTCCAGTCTGCGCACTCAAGAAAACTTACTAAATAAAATGTACCCCCTGACAGGATTCGAACCACTGCCTATGGGACACTATGTGACACTGATAAACGGCACGAAAAGGATTAAGTTATGAATATAACTTAGATCAAGACGAAAACGGTTAAAGAATGGAACGATAGATAAATTAAGAGAAGACGGGAAATTGCTTTTACTTTTTTAAAGACTTTTTTTTCTTTTTAATCAGTAATGGCTTGAAGGAAATGTTGTTTTGGGGAAAGATATTACCAAAGGGGCCATCTGGAAAAAGATGGGCTGATAATTGATTGTGGCGCTGACTTAAAGTGGAAGTTACGAAAACATTTCCTAAGGTCTAGTCAAGAAAGAAGGTCAACTAAGATAAAATATGGTAATTTTTACAGACAAAAGTGGAAGTTGAGAAGCTGATTTATTCCACCTATCAAAAATTAGAAATTGTAAACAAATCGAGAAATAGAATTTCATTATGTAAATACCGAGCCCAGTGTTCATAAGAGCGATATAGTTAACAAGATATGGAGATATCTGCCAGAGGAAACAGTTGGTAAATTTCTGAATATATAAACAAGACAAGACTGGGGAAAACTTTTTGACAAAAAATTAAAACGATAATTACAATTAATGACCAGAAGCCATACCACGCAGTTTAAAAATCGAATTTGTCAAAAAGACAACCAAGGTGAAAGGCTTAGTTTAGATACGAGAGTGACAGAGGAATTGCCTACACCCATTGGCATGGCATAAATATTCGATAAACGGGCAGTCCAGTACCTGTAACCGCTACCCATAGGAAGAAAGAATCTTCCAAATTTGGAGAAATAATTTTACGAAGAACTCTTGTTGGAAGAGGGGAAACACCGAGTCCTCAACACACATCACCGCACCCCCCAATGCCAGTTTTTGGGTAAGAGCCGAAGCGTTCAAAATCAGTTGGAGAAACAGATGACGGGAGATGATCACACTGCCGAAGCCCACGTGATTTGCTGCCAAATAGAACTCCTGAGTTAAAATAAGTGTCACGATAGAATTCAAAGTGGGAAGGATTCATTTTTTTCTGTAGAAACAACTATATAAATCATATTGAAAATTGACCCGAAGAATTTCCTGTCTTCTTTTATTTCGTCTGCAAGGAACATTTTCTTTTTCTTTGTGACACAGCTTTGCCGTGGTTCAAACCAGCGCTGCAATTGCTGACGACAACTCAGTCTTTGTCAGCTCCGAGATCAAAAAGCACGTGGCAGAACAGAATGCAGATGGAGGCGACCACTTCAATGACCAGCGCCAGTATTGACCAGCGTAGGAATTGACTCCAGTCCGATCAGCAAGAAGTGTCATACCTGACCCAAAGTTCTTTTACCACTTGGCCACAAAGAGCTTAACAATAGAGCAAATTTCTATTTTACTTTTAAAACACAATAATAATAATAAAAAAAAATATAAAATAAATCCATTAATTCTTGAGAAATAGCTTTATTTACGTTTCAGATACAAAACTGGGAAGATATGTTTTTGCATAAAACTCTAAATGAGTGAATGTCCTTTAAAGGTAAAATTTGACCTTGCTTTATTGGAAATCTCTTCGTGACCGAGTGGTAAAAGCACAACGGATGAAACACAAGTTCCTCCTGCAAAGGCGATGCAGGTTCAAATCCTGCTGAAGGGCCCATTTTATTTATTAAGTTTTCTCAAGTACGCAAAGTGGAAGGGGACATAAATAATGTTTAAAATAAACGGAGCGTCTACTCAAATATGGGTATCCACAAAAAATAATGTTTGAAGTAATAAAAATGACCTTGTAAATAAAGTTCTTACCTGTTGATAACTTTTCCGCTTCCAACTTTGTCCAATCCTGCTTTCTTACCCTGGAGAATGTTAAGGAACATGCTTGGTGTAACTGCCTACAAATGATAAAAATATCGATGAAATGAAGGCAACCATATCAGAGAAATAGGGTTTTCAAATATGGCAAAACCTTGTTTCTGCCCCGAAGTCTGCATATAGTGGATTATTTGTGGGGTTCGTTTTGGGCCTTGTTAGGATTAGCTCACCATAAGGGTTGTATGAATGAGTAAATAAAACACGATAAAGTACATCTTAAGAACAACCAAGTCTGGAGCATAACAATAATAATATATAAAAACATTAATAAATGGTTTCGTCTCGTACAAAAACAGTAGCAATGTTCATAGATGACACAAGGTTGGTATTTAAGTAAGAGTAAAATAAATATTTTTATTTTATTTTTCACTATTTACATTATTCGGGCTATTGTACTCATCTTTGTCGCCATATTTATTACGACGTTTCGGTCGTTGTACGCTCCGGCTTTCTTCAGGTGGTTGGAATGTCGAACTGAACCCTTTATTCTAGGACACATGGCACAGTGGATAAAGGCGCTAGTTAGATCCAGTGACAGGACCCAAAGAGTGTGAGTTCAATACACGTTTAAGGCAGTGGTGAACATTTAGAGGGAAATTAACTGATAACTGACATCCATTAGACATAGCACGTGGAAGTAGAACAGTCTACCCCAGTGAGCGAAATAAAGGGTTCAGTTCGATAAATGTAAATAGTTTAAGTATCAAATATTATTTACGCTATTTTATATTTGGCTAATTGTCCTCATATTTGTTTTTTGAGGGTACAGAGTAAATGGTTAGCGGCTCGGATTGAGAAATTGGATTCTAGCCGAGTTCATTACGTATAGGTAACCTTGGCAACACCTTTTCAGCTTTTGGGCATGCGTAAAAAGAAATAATGAAACCATTGATGCTGTAAACTCCCAGAGGCGAGCTCTCTTTTACTTCAGGACAAGATCGGGATAGGCCTCGGGTCGATGCTGCTTGTGGCTTAGACTATACACATCATTCACTCTCTAATTCACTAGCAGAGTAAGTTCAACTTTCCCCTCATTCTTTACAGAGACTCTTAAGAACATTCCTTGAGTTCGCATTTTCTTTAAAGACTTTCTCTACAAGGAGATTTTAATGAAATTGTAATGGACATCTGTGTCATGAGGGTCAGTTCCTCTTTCTGTCTGGCAACAAACCCTAGGTAACAGGGAAAAAAATATAAGCTTAAATTTTCTGCTGTTTAAAGTAATTTTTATGTCCCCAGTATTTAAATGGAATATATTTTCTAATAATTGCTGTATTACAGGAAAAGAGTATAAGCTAGCTATTTGAAGTTATTTTTGACGCCTGTATTTGAGCTGAATGTATTTTCTAATAGTTGTAGTATTTTAAATGGATAGTCAATTTAGATTTGAAAATTGATCATCTGCCAATACCGACGTGACAGGCGCTTAACTCATATATTAATAAAATACTCCTATATGCCGTGTAATGTAAGTGTGGGTTTGAATCCCACTCCTGTCACCATGTATGGTTGCAAGAGAACAAATGAACAACAACAAAGTACTACCAGTGAGGCGGAAAGAAAAAGCAAACAAGATATGCTAAAATACAATTTTCTGTATTGCTGATATAACGGATTATGACGGAATGTCTCTTTGTGGGTGAAGGATGGGATGTGGTATTGCATGGGCATGACATTGAAGCTTGTGTTCAGTCGGTTGACTCGGAGCCACTGGTGAACTCTGTAACTGCCTGCCTACTGCATTGAGTGTCGCAAACTTTTACTTTTAAGCAGTTAGGGTGGTTACATGACTCAGCGTTTTTGCTTTAGCGGCAACATTCGTGATTGCCTCGGACGTTTGAATTGTATTTTATATGGTGGGGGTGAACCGGATGCAATGTGCGGAGCCCATCCATAGAGAGTGCTTTTTTTTTTAGTTTTATTTTTAATTATGCTTTCGTAGCATTCCGCTCGATGCATTTTGATATGAACAGAAAACTTGGACAGTTGAGTTACTAAAGCGAGATAACTGAAACTGAAATATCCAGAAATGGCATGGCATGTGGAACTAGAACAATATGCCGCGGTGGACGAAATAAAGGATTCAGTTCGAAATTCTAACTTATATCAGCAGAAGGAGGTCAGTGTGTGCAATAAACATGAGGACAATAGTCCGAATAGTGTAAATAGTTTATTAAATATCTAATATTATTTACACTATTTTATATTTGGTCTATTGTCCTCATATTTGTTTTTTGAGGGTACAGAGTAAATGGTTAGTGGCTTGGATTGAAGAATCGGATTCCAGTCAAAGTTCATTACATCCACTTACGTGTAGATACCATTGGGAAAGGGTAACAGGTATGGGTAAAATAGTAGTACAGACTGAGTTCTATAGCCTTGGTTTATTGCAACCGGTCTAGTGAAGTACAACTCTGAATTCCAAACCGTATATAAATCTCTAAGAAGCAGAATGTCTCTTTCTGGCTGAGGGATGCGACCTGGAGGATGGGAGGCTGTAATGTATGGGCCTGACACTGAAGCTTATGTTGAGTCGGTTGACCCAGAGCCACTGTTGAACTTTGTGATTGCTTGCCTACTGCATTGAGTGTCACGAGCAGTTACTTTTAAGCATTTAGGGTGATTACATGACACAGCATTTTTTTTGGGGGGGGGTCTGTGAATTTGCATTAGCGGCAACATTCGTGAGTGGCCCCGACGTTTGAATTATATTTTATATTCGGCATGGTGAACTGTATCCAATGCTCGGAGCCCCTCCATAGGGAGTGTTTTTTCATTATTTTTAATTATGCTTTCGTAGCATTTACATCTGCTCGATGCATTTTGATACGGAGTGAATCAGAAGATCTAATTTGAAGCAGAGAATAATTACAGAATTATTATTCTCATGTACGGATACAGGAAAGAAATTAATTTAATCATTAGAAGTTGTTAAATGTTTATACTAAATTCTTAGTTTATTGTTGTTTTTGTTTAGCAGCATATCAACACCTCTATGGGCCATTTAATTCCAACATCTAAATATTTTGTATACAATTTTATTTATTTATGTTTTTAAGATAATAATGATTTTAGTGATACAATCTTACTAATTAACCCATAGCAGGGGGAGAAGAGGTATATTCATAGCTTTCCCAAAAGATATTTGCGCGTAAGTGAATACAACGAACACAACAGGAATTGGAATTTTGCTCTCCGATTAACAATTTCAAGCCATTATCCATTACACCACCTGCATATCCAAGCTTACAGTCCCTGGTATTCTCAAGCGGTCACTCATCTAGGTACCGATCAGGCTCGTTGTTGTTTAACTTCTGTGATCGTACGAGAACAAGTGTTTCAACGTGATATAGCTATAAATCCATTCCATTACACCACTCGCACATCCAAGGTCAGAGCACTGGTAATCTCAAGTAGTCACCCATCTAGGTACTGACTAGGCTCGACGTTGCTTAACTTTTGGGGATCATTCGAGAACTGGTGTTTCAACATGGTCGTAAGTCTAAATTCCTATTTGAAATTTCTGAACTGATGAGTTCCATGACACCAATAGATGTCAGTGTGTCGTGAAAGGTAAAGTGAGTGTTGTCGCTCTGGTGATCGATGTGAAAAAAGAACGAGGCTTTTGGAAATTGCGCCGCCTATAAGTCAGGGGCGGTAATCTAACAAATAGTTTAGCTTTGAGAACCAATCAAATAGAAGTACAGTGTAACCCGGAGTTGTCGGGACCGGAGAAGAAGTCTCTTATATCCGGGTTTGGTCTATTTTATATACATTAACACAGGCTCTAATTTAGGACCAGATAAAATCTCTCTTATATCCGGGTTGGGTCTATTTTATATACATTAACACAGGCTCTAATTTGGGACCAGATAAAATCTCTCTTATATCCGGGTTTGGTTTATTTTATATACATTAACACAGGCTCTAATTTGGGACCAGATAAAATCTCTCTTATATCCGGGTTTGGTCTATTTTATATACATTAACACAGGCTCTAATTTGGGACCAGATAAAATCTCTCTTATATCCGGGTTTGGTCTATTTTATATACATTAACACAGGCTCTAATTTGGGACCAGAGACAATCTCTCTTATATCCGGGTTACACTGTATCACTAAAATGTTTGCATTTCCAGACAGATTCTCAGTGAAGAAGCAAAAAGTGAAATGATTTTCTACTTACACTTCCGGTGTAGTCTTTGGGGACACCTTTGTAAAGATTTTTTCCATGTAAGTGGTTAATTACGACGCCCTTGTGGGGATTTCTACAGAGAAAGGAAAAATTATGTCAGGAACAATTAAAATAAGGAAAATGTGTGGAATTCGTAATTTCTTAGGGAAAAAAACCGTTATTAAATCGATAAATATTACAAGTAACAATACTGGAAAAAAAAAAATATAGGTTGTTGATGTCGGTGTGTTCTTTTCGATTGACAAGCTCTGAGGACAATTATTTGGACATTTAAGTTCTTATTTCTGTTTTGACAACAAAATGTTTTCTTTTGTGAGTATATTTTTCGTTTTCAATTGTTTGTTTTTTTTCAGCTACGGTCGAATTTGATTTAATTTTTGTTTTTTTTATTATAGTTTATTTTTATTTTCGTATTTCGTTTTTACGTTGCATTTTTTTTTTTGCGGCAAACTTGTTTTTTTTCTTTATAGTTTATTTTAATTTTTGCATTTTTTTTTTTTTAAATTTTATTTTTGTTTTATTTCGTTTGTAATTTTCATCTTTTGACTTTTTTTGCTTAAAAACCAAAACATTTTCTGGTTTCTTAAAAAGGAAAATTTTACAAGATGGCCAACCAAAGTCGGTCCATCAAAATTCAAAATAGATTTATTTAGATTGGCCACTAAAAGCAGATCCACCAGACAAAAATGAGGCTGTTCCCCCGCCACCCCACAAAAAAGACCCACAAAAAATGAAAAGAAAATTAGATCTCCAAAAAGTGAGCCCAATAAGAGGAAAGACAATTCTTTCTTCCCCGTTGGAGAAATTTTCTCTTCAAGAAAGATCTTCCCGATAAATATTTCTATCTCGTTTTGTTTCATTATTTTATTTATTTATTTATTTTGTCTATTTTCTCAACACTTTTTAATATTTTAGCTTACCGTTGCACTTTTAGTGCAACGATAATTCTTCTGCCGCTACTTAAGTTAAACACATTTTGACGAACGTAGGTCTTCACTTCCCGTACAAACATTTATTATTATTTCATGGATGACTTTCGCTGCATTTCGCATAAATTTCGATTATTCCCAAATTTATTTCTAGATTATAAAATTTGTTATTATACAAAAGAATTTATCGCAGAAAATTCACGTAAAAAAAACGCCGAAAACATCGCAGTAATGAAAACTTGGGAATTAAAAATTTCAGAATTGTGGGTCCAGATCCGGTAAGTACCTCAACGAAATGTAAACAAAAGGAGCATAGCATGATGAAAAAGACGCCGAACTTGACGAAAACAAAATTTTATTGTCTAAATGTTCATATTATTATCAAAGAGGAAAGATCAAAGTATTTTGTTTGAGGGTGGTTTTTTTTTTTACATTTTTTAATCGTCCCTAGCATGTCCGAAATTTTCGTTAAAAATAGTTTGTTTTTGTTTTTGTTTTTTGTCAAAAAAAGGACAGATCAATCATATTTTTCCATTTTATAAAAAAGATGAAAATCTGACTTTGAAATTCTTTTAAAAATCAATTATCATTTTTTCAAAACTTATTTTAATAAAATCAGAAACTATAATATTTATTTAAAATATTTTGAACCAAGCTTAACTTAGCTTCTGCGCCGAAAAAATGTAATTTGAAAATAAAACAAAGCAGGTCATAACCTTTCGCGTCGTTTGACAGGTGACGAAAGACACTTTCATGAGGATAATTCTTTCTACGGATGGAAGAAAGTGAAATTATTTAGATTTAAGTGAACAAATTATTTACCTCGTTACTTTTAAGGAAAACTTTCAGCGCTCTAATTTTTTTTTTTTTTTTTTTTTTGTACTTAGCTTTCATCTTTACGTTTACGATGCTTTATGGAAAATATAAAGAAATTAAAAAATAAGACTGTTAAGACTAAGAGTGAAATTAAATTTCATAAGAAATAGGTATCTAATTAATTTATAGGTACCTTTCTTATGAAATTTTATCAGAAGTGTACATACTATAATTTTATGTACATTTATTACATTTTACTGTGTTATTTGTATTTCCATTAATTTTATTATTAATTTTGATATTTCATTTATGGAAAAATGTCATAACTGAGATTAATATAAAAATAAGATCATATAAATTAAAGTAGTTAAATTTCGTAAGATGATACTGATACTTATAGATACCCTTCTCAGTTGAAATTGAAAAATCAAATTAACTTCTCCATAGGTGTTTCGCAAAAGTAAAGGCTTTAACAGCGTAGAACAATGCGAAACTCAAATAATGCAACTAAATTGTATTCTGGTTGGTCTACCGTACTTTAATAATTACCGTTCGATTATAAACACAAAATTACATTTCTTAATTACTGCAGATCTTCTGATTGGTCCAAATGATACAATTTTCAAAGCGCTAGGCAATGACAATCTCATAATAAGGACACTTTGAAAGGTTGATGTTGCTTTTTAACTAATGTTATAATATTTTTAAAAAACTTAATGTAAAAATCTATTATAATTAAAGAAATAACAAATAATTGTATTAAAAATTCAATTTTCATTGAAAAGATTTTTTGCTTTCAGAAAATATTTTCCATATTCATAAAAACAACTAAAAACGTTTGAATTTAATCATAAGCATTTAGATGATAAAATTTTGTTTTCATAAAGTTTGGCGTCTTTTTCATCAGACTATGCTTTTTTTTTTTTTTTTTTTTTTTTTTAGCGATTTCGTGAAGGTACCTTAAATTTGCTCACGGAGTCAGCCTGATTCCAGAATGGTATGATATGCTGCAATATGACCTCTAGGGGTAAAGTTGAAAAATGTGACACATTGACATTCACATTTATTATATAAATGAATAATGATTTTTTTAAATATTTTTCTGGCCTTATATTCGGACATAACTAATGGATGTTTCTGATCTGAATGCGATTGCACGCGCGCATGCGCTTAGAATTACAAAGAAATATTGGAAACAAAGGATGCCAACTTACTGTTCGTTATGGGCGATATCATCGTACATCATAACAACGATCCGTTCATCTGGAATTCCGTTTTTGTGTAGAATTTGATAAGCGTGGCAAATATCAGCCTGTGCCGGAAAGAAAAAAAAAGATTGGAAAACCAGAGCAAAAAAAGCTTAATGAAAATGGTAAACACGGATAAACATGGCTGCAATAAGACGGAGTGTCAAATGGACGGTTTTTTCACATGACACCGCTTTTTTTAATTACCTTCATTCTTCGGCAATGTTTTAAAAACGATGATTAGAATTGTAATAAAACCCAAACATATGAAAGTGAATTTATACATTTTCTTTGTTCTTGAGAATTGTAAACAAAATAAACACTACTTACTACAACACTACCTTTTTTTTTAACTACCTTCACTTCTCGACATTGTTTATTTTTTAAAAAAGCAATTAGAATTATAATAAAACCTAAACATATGAATTTACATTTTCTTTGTTCTTGAGAATTGTAAACAAAATAAACACTACTACAACACTACTGTTTTTTAACTACCTTCACTCCTCAACAATGTTTATTTTTTTAAAAAGCAATTAAACATATGAATTTATACATTTTCTTTGTTCTATAGAATTGTAAACAAAATAAACACTACTACACCACTACTGTTTTTTTAACTACCTTCACTCCTCGACAGTGTTTATTTTTTTTAAAAAGCAATTAGAATTGTAATAAAACCTAAACATATGAAAGTGAATTTATACATTGTTCTGAGGATTGACAAGAAAAATAAAAAACACTTTATACACTATTATATTATTTATTGGAATGCTTGGTAAAACATCCATAAAAATTAATATTTATTATTTTAAAAATGTTGTAATCCTCTTAGTGTATATTCGCCTGTTATTTTATTTAAATATACGTTCTTTTGAGGAAAGTGTATTTTTGTGTAGAACAATCGGTCTGTTTAAATATTGTGACAATCTTTTCGGCTCATCGTTTAAAACCCGCCAAAATTTGTTCCAGTTTACGGAAAATCATTTTTTCGCATATACCGACCAATGAGAGACGTGAACTCAAGCTTGAATAACTTCCCGAATAGTAGAGCAGAGGTGAGCCTAAATCTTAAAATAAATAGGGCTCAGGTTAGTAGATGCAAGGAAAAGACATTTTAGGCAGCAAGGGAACAAGGCAGGTCGTCAACATCAAAGAAGCCATTTGTCATCAAGTGTAGGATACCATAGAAGGTAACAGTTACCAGACAGCCACGGAGAGAGCAAAGTTTAAGCTGAAATTCTCCTGTGGTTGGACAGCCAAAAAAACGAAAAGATTTCGAAGAAATTTTCCCAAGCACGAACTGTGTGAAGTTCAAAGGGACTTTTTTTTCAAAAAAGTTTTTCTTCTGTTGAACTGTTGAGCTGTTGAACGTTTACATTTTACTGCCTTATTTTATTGTTTTCTCTTTTTGTCTTTTAAAAAAAAACCTTGTTTTTCCCTTGCTGTAATTTTCCACTTTGCGTTGGTAATCCTTGAAATTGTTATCCAGTATAAGAATTTAATTTGAGAACCACGACTACAAGGTTTTACAAGTTCAGGTTCTAGCCTCTTTTCTGATTTTTGCCCTAACTTTCAAATCCGACTCCCAAAGCCTTGATCCTTTTCAGGGATAAAAAATATATTTTCTGACAAACAAAAGAACTGGAAAATATAAAAAGGCATCTGACTACCTTTGCCCTGACCATGGTGTCATAAAGTCGGGTTTAACACGTACTACTTGTTGGAACCTTACTTCCGAAAATCAGCTTCCAAACCTTTTATTCTTATCAGAGATAAGAATATATTTTCTGACGAATGAGAGCGCCCGAAATATGGAGAATATACGCCTCTTTGGCAGTGAGTACTTCACATCTATTGTGATAACATCAGTTCGGCGACAGTAACACCAGTCTTCTCCAGAACCTGTTTCAAGAAAGAGGTTTACCTGCTGGGCTGTAAAGACAGAACGTCGACCCTCTACTAAAAACTAATCGAAATCTGCTTCTTTGCACCTAGAAATTCCTGTCATCGGCCTACGGACTTAGACAACTACAAAATTCGGATCTTCCGACAGTTTCCTCCTCAACAAGAGCTCTGAAGAAATCTCTTTGAATGTTAAGAACAATTAAGAACAATTTACTTGCTTAAAGATCTTCTCGGTGCCTAGAGAAATATTTTAAGTGAGCCTTTATGTGAACACTTTTTCTTCTTTTAAGTTAAAGGAATTTTCTTTCTTTCTTTCTTTCATATTTGTGTATATCCTTTTATCTCTTTTTCGTATATGTGAATAAACATTTTCTTTTTTTATTGTTACACCCCGAGCAGGAGTTTGTGTCTTTATTCTTCCGCCTAAAAGTGAGAATTGTCCGCTCTAAACTTTCCAGCCCTTGTAGCTTTTATCGATTCTCTCACCTTTAACGTTAACCCTTTCGTATGGGAAGGCCGGGATAAATTTCTCGCATCTGACTTAATAAGCGCACAAAATGAAATCTTTGTACAAACTTGTACCTTTTTCGTGATTGTCTCTTGCTATTTATTCTGCCTGAGTTTTTTTTTTTCGCCACAAGAAGTTGGATTTGGTAGGAATAAACATTTTATACATTGTCTAATTGCCAATCGCTTCGAACTTTATAAAATTATAAATAAAGAGAATTTCCTTATAATTTATTCACATATTTTATTACATTCCTTATAATTTATTCAAATATTTTATTATATTCCTTATAATTTATTCAGATATTTTAATAATTTAGTAAATATTTATAAATTTATAAATAAAGAATTGTTTTCACATTTTTATTTCACTTTCGTCATGTGTTTAGGTTTTATTACAATTCTCATCATCGCTTTTTAAAACAATAAACGAGGTACCTCTTCTATTTCGGCATAAATTTTCGATACCTAAAGTTTAAGGTGAATTTTTTTAAAAATGAAAAAAACATTCTTGAAAATTATTATTTGATTTTTACAAGAATTTCCAAATCAATGTGTTTTCAACGGAAAAAAGTGCAAAAAATCAATGTTATTCTTATGTCACCGCGATGACGTAAACAAAACAGGATTTTAACTAAAATTTCGAATGTTTTAGAAAGGATTAAAAAATTTCTAAAAATAATTAAAAAATACTTCGGTCTTTCATCATAAACATCTTTAACATAAACATTTTGACGATAATACTCTTCTTTTTTTTTTAAGTTTGTGCCCTTTTTCATTACGCTATGCGGTTTTCCTGCGAAAAAGTGGAGGTACCTACAAAAACATTGTCGAAAAGTGAAGGTAGTTACAAAAAAAAGCAGTGTCATACGAAAATCTACGTAAAAAAATCTCCGATAATGTCGAGTAATTTGAAAGAAAAGAAATGGCAAAATTTTTTGGTATAATATTTTTTAATTTTTTACAAGTTGCAAAGTTATGGTATCTCCGGACGAATTTTTGACAGATCTTAAAAGATCGTAAAGTTAACTTGTACAGACATTCTTTTAAAAGTTTTTGTATTATTAATAACTTGGGGTATGTCCTTAATGTTCCAGGTATTGACCAACGTCGACGTTGCTTAAACTTTGTAGATAAAATTGATTATTTGAATTTTTACCGATATATGAAAAAAAAGAAAACACACACACACACACACACACACATATATATATATATATATATATATATATATATATATATATATATATATATATATATATGTATATATATTATTATATATCAGTCAGGTATGTCATGCGAATATTTTCCCTTGTCCCTCTTTTATTCTCTTTCAATGTGAGTATCAGATTCTCCAAAATATCATTTTTCATTAAATAAAAAAAGAAATTTCAGCTGCCTCTTCCTGATGTTAAGTATAAGCTTCCTCCTTGTTTGTATTCCCTCTCTAAAACTTCATCGTTGCTCACATGCGCGGTTCATGATATCCTTAACATCCTTCTATAGAACCATAACTAATGCTGCCTTGAGTCTCTTCATTTTGAGGAGACCATCCAACATTTGCTGCCATAAAGGAGGACAGATGTCACGTACATGTTTCATTAAAGACGACAGACAAGGTACTGCGATAAAACTATTTTATTTAATAAAATAATACATTTTTAATGATAAAAAAAGAAAAGGCCAACACCACTAATATTTTCTACGAACACGGCCACAATATAGATCCATACTGTGTTCGGAAAAAAAAACAGAATATTAACTCTAGAAACATACACACAACGCACAAACCCAATTATTTTATAAAAAAAATATTCAAATCCGTAATAATGGCTTTTTTTATACACGAAAGCGCGCAGAATTACAGAACAGTTGGACAGTTTCTACAGACTCTGTGTCCAAAAAAGAAAATACTTGTTCGAACAAACGCAAGAAAAATTAAATAAAAAGCTCAATTGCAGTACCTTGTCTGTCGTCTTTAATGAAACATGTATAAATGAAGGACTGCTACCTAAATACACACTCACATACACACACACACACACACACACACACACGTGTAAGGAATTAATGGATTTTTATTTATTAAGTAGATGTCCGTATTTGAATAGACTCTCTTTTTATTTTAATCGTTATTTTGTTTCGTCTACTGGCCTGAAAATTCAAGAAATCGTATTAAATATGGCTATCGACTAAAATGACGTTTACATTAATAAATATCAAACTATATAATAATTATCAATATCTATTTATTTATATATTTCCTGTGGTGGAAAGTGGAATGGATCATGTTATGAAATTGCTGGATGATTACTTCCTTTTAGTTGTTTTAATAGTCTATACGAAGAAAATATCTGCATTTTGGTAAAATTAGTTCCTAAGTAAAATGAACAGTTTAATTAATCAGTTCCTTTACTCCTACGTTTCTTAAAATTACAGTTTTATTTGTTCAAGCCTTTCATGCGAGGCACTCAGATACCTTTATCTATTAAGTGATTGTTTTGTTTCAACTTGGTCTTGAAATAGCCTTTGTAGTCGCCGTCTTTGTCATTCTGTTGCTAATCTTTTTTCTTCTAAGAGATATATACATTTCACTGTTATCTTGAACACAGAATGTTTAAAAAGAAATGACACTGAGCAAAAAGCGATTTATATAATACCAGGAGTAACCAATGAACCACAGATACCATTAAACGTTTAAAAATTATAAAGGCAACAGACCAATCAAATGGTTTATTGGCCTTTGTCTTCGTTTTGAATTCTTTATCTCCGCCATATTGAATATCAATACATTGTTTCACAACATTTGTGTCATTGCTTCTCACTATTAAAACTTTCTAACTGCCGGCATTTTTGACAGCACGGGTGCACTAATATATATCCAACTTTTTTATGAAAATAAATTAGCATTTTATTGCGATGTTGATATTTTTCCGTTATTTTAAAAAAAAAAAATTTACCTGATGTCTGTAGTTGTACCAGCCGTTTGATCCTGCGACGATGACAGCCCAATGGACACCTCCATTTTCCAACTCGGGTAATGGAGACAGACTGTCTAATGGCAGAGAATTGAACAGCTATTATGGCGAATGCCAGAATAATTTAAAAGAATAAACGCCCACATCGTTTTTTAACTTTAGAAAAAATGCAACTATTTCATAACCCTGATGCTGAGTGATCAATTATTCGTAATACAATCTTCAATTTCACTTTATATATAGTCTCAGTCTTGGTCTCTGATAAGAACTGTTGCTATGGTTTTTCATACCTACCGCGCTAAGAAAATTTACTGATAAAATTTTTAAAGAGAGAAACTGAGAGATAGCAATTTGAGAATTTTACAGCCAATTATCAGAGTGACACATGGTATAAACTTGTCCTAAAATACTGGACGAAAAGAGGTGCAGTTTTTAACAACCGCATTCATATCAGTTTATGAGTTCTGTTCAAGAATTATTTAACCATTTACTTCCTCTTTTGTGCTTATTTGTCTCTTAAAAATTGGTGTGGAAGATAGTATAAATCCACAACAACGATTTTTTTGAACAATTTAAATATTCAAAAATTTATGATGTTGGAATGTTCCATTCGCACGATCTCGTCAGTCAGAAGGCTCACAACACTTCTCCTGCCCGTTTTTCTTTCGATATGTCCTGTGAGTGTCAATTTCTCCATGCCCTCATCCTCATTATGCGTCCTATTAAACTTCAACTGTCTCTTCTTTTAAAGGTATCAGCGTCCTTAATATTTCTGTTATTTATAAAGACTTCGATTCATTTAAAATATTCACTCCGTCCATGGAATTCTCAATATCCTTCTGTAGAACTAAATTCCTGTTTCTTCCAGTTTTCTCACCATCTGTCAGGAGATTGTCCAGCAGTCACTGCCATATGAGAGGATTGATACTATACCGGATGTAACAGCAAAATTGTCCAAATCGTATAACAGCGAAATTGTCCGATAACCGTTGTATCTTAGAAATGATTAAAGATATCTTACTGGAATTCTATGAGGTTTTTATAACACTATTGGACTCTACTTTGAGCAATGAGAATGTATAATTACTTTCCAAGCTTAAGAATCGTGATGAAATCGATCATAAACGAAAATGACATGTTCATCATTAATTAATCATGGCTAAGGATCGGAAGCTCATGAAGGATTGAAAGTGAAGATATTATTTCAGAATTATTTTCCAATTTATTCAAGATGAACTTCGCCCTCTCTAAACTTCTAACTTTCTGCCCTGTAGAAACAAGTCACAGGTTTCACGAACGATTTCATTTTCAAGTCTTTTTTCCACTGCTCTTTCGACTCTCATAGCTGAAATTCCTCTCTGACGTGCCAAACGTCTTATGGATTGAGTTGGATCTTTTCTAATTGATCTCTTTAGCTCTAAGTTGAAATGATGATCCCTCTTCCTGTTGTGACCTCCTGATCCAGTTTCCTATCTACCATTCCCTCTTTTTTAAACTTATTCACCGTTCTCTTGATGGTTCTTGAATGGACTTTGAAGATGGAAGCCAGAGTATGAATGCTGCTACCATTACTGAAGGTGTGAAAGATCTTTTTTCCTTTCACCATTGCTCATTTGGGAAGACAGTGGGGTTGACACAAAACAATTTTAACCTCTTCTCTTTTTAGTTGACTAACTCAAAGGGTTTTTCAGTGATTCTTACGAAAAATGGTGTCAAGATGGCTAAACGTTTTATCTGAAAACCTGAAAAAAAACTCAATTAGTTTAGTGGGATTTTTTTTTTTTTTTTTTAGATATTAAACATTTTGTGGGATGGACAATTATTAAATACTGTTACATGATTTGGACAATTTTGCTGTTTTAAATTTATATATATATATATATATATATATATATTATATTTATAATTCGAATTTTCCTGTTTTTTGGGCGATTTTTTGATCTTTTACAATAAATTTTATTATATATTCCAAATTCTTTTTTGAATTTTTATATATATACAGTTTTATTGACTATTATTTCATTATAGACTTAGAATACTGAATGAAATTATATATTTGATTATATTATCATTATTAATATTAACATCGTTTTAAAATATATATAAATATTAATATAATTTCTCAATTTCATGATGAGAATATTATTAAAAATAGTTTCAATATAAAAAAAAATTAATTGAATATTATAATATTTCAATTTTGAAATCATTTTATACCTCATATTTATGAAGTTAAAATATTATTTATTATATTCCTTAGAATAAATTTCAAAAATTAATTAAAAAATTATAAATTTCAATCTTAAATTGATTTATAAATTTATAAATTTCTACAGGAAAATTTTTCATAACATTAAATTAAATAAATTTTAATAATCTATTTAATTTTTTTAAAAAATTTATTTATAATTTAATCGTCCTGGGTTGCCGATTTTCCATCTAAAAAAAATGAACGATCCTAATAAATTTTTGTAATTTATTTAGATTTTAACCTTCAAGAATTTTTGTTGGAAAAAAAAAAATAAATCTTCATTACTTACGATTCTTTTTCCAAAAAAAAACATTTTTTATCATTAAATTCGTTCTTAATAATCACATTCAAGCGCCCAAAAATATTGTGAATTTTTTTTAAAATTTTTTTTTTTTAAAAAAAAGTTTTAGTTTTAGAAATAATATATATATATATATATATATATAAATCTAAATATATATAAGGAGATAATTCGATTATCGTAACGAAAAAATGAATTCAAATTCTTTGTAAAATGCGCAGAGTCACAACAAAAATAGCATCTAACAGTGAGGAATCTCATTTATCTTATAGTTTGCTCTCATTTTTTATATATATATATAGGTATATATATATATAATACCGAATAAATTTTAATTGTATTTAAATACAAGAGTTTATTTTATTTTAAAAAGAAATTTCAAGAGTATCAGTTTATTATTATTTAATTTGATTGAAACAGGTTAAGGTTAATATATCGGGAATTTATATATTTTTATATATATAGTAAATTTTATAATCAGTGGTTATAGAAGAAAATTTCAAATGGACTTTGTATTTTGAAATGAATACGGATGGAATGAAAATGGTAATTTTGCAATAAAGTGGCACAATAGCGTTGAAAATTTCATTATTTTTATGTTTTTGGTTTAAAAAAAATACAGCTCTGTCCGATAACTTTGTTGGAAGAAGTTATAGGAGAAATTAAAATAAAAGATTAATAATACATTTGATTTTATATATATATATAAAATTTATATATCATATATATATATATGAAATTTTTGAAACTTTAAGGAAATTTTAAATTTTATCCTTTCCAAGCATATATATAAATATATATATATATATTTATATATATATATATATATATATATATATAATATATATATATAAAATTAATGTGTTTAGAAATGCATATGTACATGGAATTATTTCTAAAAATAAAAAAAAATTTTTCTGCCCCACCATTAGTCAATTGAAGAAAAACTTTATATTTAATGGTCTTTAATGGCAATTCTCATTTAATAAACCAAGATGGCGGCTTTTAAATGATTTAAATGGCTATGTTTAAAAGCCTTCACCATTATTCAAATACATTTGTCTGACATGGATCATTGTCGGTTTGAAGTAAGAAATGATGACGTTTGGATTCTCTTTCGTAAAAAACGACGGGAGCTGTGAAAATTAAATAATATTTAATTGATATATATATATATATATATACAAAAATAAACATAAATAACTTTAATTTCTAAAAAAAATATTGATTTTGATATATATATAGTTAAATATATATATATATATAAAAAATGTTTAAATAAAGAAATATATATAAACATGAATATATTATCGAAATTTCGCATAGATGCATTAATAAATTTTTGAAAAAGGAAACGATACGTTTAAAAAGTAACATAATCAATATATTTAAAACAAAATTATAAGAAAAGATAAATTAAATGAATTATACAAAATTAAATAGTTTTGAATTTATATAAATTCAATATTTATAAATTAAATATATTTATTATATTATATATGCAGTGGGGGAAAAAAATATATTTCGTACACATGAAAAATTGTATTTTTATAAATGTAAAAGTTTTAACTAAAACAAATTTTGATACATTTTATGTATAAAGATACATTTTATAAAAAAAAATAATAATAAACTTAATTAATTCTTATTCTAACAGAAATTAATGCATTTTTTTTTCATTTTAACTGATGAAAAAGTATTCGTACAAAAAAAAAAATGCATATTAATTAATTTAATACTTTGTGGAATATCCTTTATTTGAGTTCAACAGCTACCAGTCTATTCCTGTACGTCTCAACTAATATATTTGCAACATTAAAGTAGTATTTTTGTCCCATTCTTCTTGGCATATAAATCTTCAAATTCTTGATATTTGTTGGTGCCCTTTTCCCAATTTGAATTTTCAAATATCGCAAAATAAATTTTCGTTTGGGGAAAGTTCAGAACTGTTTAAGAATTGCAAAAATCTCAAACGTTATTACTTTCAGCTAACCATTTCTTTGTAGATCTAGCGGTATGCTTAGGATCATTATCCAGTTGAAAAACCAAAGATTGAACAGGAAGTCTCTCAACAGAACGCATTAAATTTTGCAGGATTTTCTGGTATCTTTTCGGCATTCATCTTGCCATCTATTATTGATATTCTGCCAACACCTTTTCAGAAAAACAGTCCCAGATCATGATACTGCCACCACCAAATCTTTACAGTAGGCAACGTGTTGTTTGCAATAGGCTTAACCGTCCTTCTCCACACATGATTTCGATAATTATGGCCAAACAACTCTTATTTTAGTTTCATCTATCCATAGTACTTTGAAAAAAAACGAATTTTCTTTATCCTTATGCTCTCTAACGAATTTTAGCCTAGCATTTCTGTGTCGTTTCAAGAGCAGTGGAGTCTTCTTGGGATGCGTTATTTCAGACTGTTTTTGTGTAGTTCATTACTTATTGTACGCTTGGTTACTTTAATTCCTAATGCACGCAGATGTTCCTGTAGCTCTTCTCGGGTAATCTGTGGATTTTGTTGGATCTGGCGTCCGAATATCCTTGCTGATCTTAGAGAAATCTTCCTCGGAGCACCTGTTTCTTTTTTTTCAACCTAACGATTAGTTTTTAAACAAACCGCAATGAACGAAGAAATTGTAGTAAAAGGAATATTCAGGTTGTTAGAAATCGTTCTGTAACTGTTCCCATCTTTCGCAAAAAAAGAGACAAAATGTGTTGTTTTTGTGAAATAGTAAAATCAACCTTTCAAAATTATTAGAACCTTCTCATAAAACTAGAAATTGCAGAATGCTCTGATAATGGCTAATAGCGTTAACTATAATTACTGATAACATTACTGGTTGCTATTCTAGAATATAACTTTTTCATAATTAATTGATTATTTTATTCTGATAATTGATTTTCGAAACTTTTTTTCACCAGTTAGAATTTTAAAAAATGCATTAATTTCTGTTAGAATAAGAATTAATTTTGTTTTATTATTATTTTTAATTGTATGTGTCTTTATACATAAAATGTGCCGAAATTTGTTTTATTTATCTTTTTTTTTACATTTATAAAAATACAATTTTTCAAAGTGTACGAATATTTATTTCATTGTATATATATATATATATATATATATATATATATATATATATTTACATTATTCGGACTATTGTCCTCATCTTTGTCGCCATATTTATACAACGTTTCGGCCGTTGTACACTCCGGCCTTCTTCAGGGGTTGGAATTTCGAACTGAACCCTTTATTTCGATCACTGGGGTAGACTGTTCTAGTTCCACATGCCATGTTTGATGGATGTCAGTTATCAGTTATCTCCTGCTAATTTTCCCTCTGAAAGTTCTCCACTGCCTTAACCGGGTATTGAACTCACACTCTTTGGGTCTGTCACTGGATCTAACCAATGCCTTTATCCACTGTGCCATGTGTCCTTGATATATATATATATATATAGTGACCTTGTCTCGCTAGATCAATTAAGACTGTATAGTTAGTTCGATCCTCATTGGGTGCTCCATAGTTTAGGCCTTGTGCCATGTCTAAGCTACACTTAGACACCTGGAAAGTGAGGACTGGGCAGCTCCTGCCTAAATACAACAGCATTTTAGGCCTGATCTGACATTTGTAAATGTTGTGGTGTCCTCCCTCTAAAGAGTGTATGTTGGACTCTTTCGCCTACTATAAGATTAGTATGAGAGAAGCCCTTGGGGGAACAGTCGAATAGATTGAACACTGGGTCATCCGGCACACACTCACTAGTTGTGTGATACTCTTCTGTTGCACTTACTGTTTAATATATGATATATTTGTAACACTTATATTGTTATTTTTTTTTACCATTTACTTAGTCACAACATCTTGACTGTTCCCCCAAAGCCTTCTCTCCTACTAATCTTATAGTAGGCGGAAGAGTCCAACATAGACTCTTTAGAGGAAGGACACCACGCCAATAAAGGTAGAGGATAGCACGAGGAGTCAGGTACTTACTGCACCGGTACAGGGAATCGACCAGTTTTCCTATATCTTTAGCGATGGATTGTATGTATGGGTTCCACTTGAGGTCTGAGGTGATTTTAAGGCCCAATAGACGCTTAAGGCACATGGCCTCCCCAAGAGGACATTCATTTATTGTGACCGATGGTAGTCCGGGGTCCGATCGGCGATGATAGAATGTAACTAGTTTCGTTTTCCTGGCATTGAATGCAACCAGCCAGTTTTTCCCCGGCTGCGATATTAGAGCAAGATCAAATAAGAGATCAGCTGCCAATCTCTGGTCATCACTAGGTTTTAAAGATTCAAGGTCTTATCTGACCATTTGTCATACAATACAATCTCAAAATAATCAAAACGGTCTGATCCTTTCTGTTCACCTACGCGCAAAGACCCTTGTTAAATGTATGAATCGGGCCCTTCTCCCCAGCTATGGGTTAATTAGTAAAACCTATATCAGGAGACCATTATCATCTCAGAAAGAAAATTCTTCCAATCTAAAAAATATTTTGTGGCTTTAAATAACCTGCGAATTATTAGAATTTGGTTTCCAGTTTCGTCTTTATTCATTTTCCAATGGATAACGTCTCGAAATTGGAAATCGAAGAACAGAGTTCCAATTCCAGTCTGGTTCATTATATTCATTTACGTGCAAATTCTATTGGGAAAGGTATGAATCCACCTCTTCTCTCCTCACCTATGGGTTAATTAGTAAGATTTGTTTCAGTAAATCATTAATCTCAAAACAAATCTTTAAAAAAAATCTTTCAATCTAAAAATATTTTCTGGATTTAAATAACCTGAAAAAGGTTGATAAGATGTAAATAATAAAATTAATCAAATCAATAAAGAAAATTCAGGAAAATTGTTCGTTATGGTTTGGGAGGACTTCACAAGCCAATTTTTTCTCCTGCTGAGCTGTCAGTACTCTCGATTATTTATTTATATATCAATCAGTTTATACTTTTAGTTTTATATATTACATTTATTTGTTTTGTGTATTCAACTCTCGTCTGTTTTTATTTGGTTTTAAATTTTGTTATTTATATATCAATCAGTTTATACTTTTATATATTTCATTTATTTGTTTTGTGTATTTAACACTCGTCTGTTTTTATTTGGCTTTAAATTTTGTTATTTATATATCAATCAGTTTATACTTTAATATATTTCATTTATTTGTTTTGTGTATTCAACTCTCGTCTGTTTTTATTTGGCTTTAAATTTTGTTATTTATATATCAATCAATTTATACTTTAATATATTTCATTTATTTGTTTTGTGTATTTAACACTCGTCTGTTTTTATTTGGTTTTAAATTTTGTTAGTTTGTATAAATTTTGTTAGGTTTATGTTATTATATGGTAATTATTCGAACGTTTCCGGACTATTTGTGATTATACCCTTGTTCGTGGCTGTGATTGTACTGTTCAATATAAATGCGCCGAACCTACTGAGTCAGTCTACCAGAGTCTCCGTATTCAGTTATTACATATGGTTTTATAATGTTGTATTGAAACGGCTCTGCAATCTTTACGATCGCTGGCAAATCGTTCCTATATTAATATCTAGCACTCTGCATTATTTATAAATATTACTTCTCCTTTTACTGTATATAGAATCCCCTCAAAATATTGTGGTTTTTATATTAGTTCTATATATTTGAAATTATATAGAGGGAACGGATTAATGGATAGCTGCTCGGATTGGGGAATCGGAAAGCCGAGTTCGAATTCCAGTCGAATAATAACCTTGGGAAAAGTATGAATCCTCTTCTTCTCTCCATCTTGGATGGTCTACTGCAGGCAGAAATGGCAATGCGGGAAAAATCTGCCTTGTCAGTCATGTATCATGACATGGCACATAACTGACTGAAATTAACTTACATGCTAATACCCTTGGGAAAGGTATGAATCCTCTTCTTCATCCCCCAGCTATGGGTAAATAGCATGGCAGATCGGGTTCTATAGCCTTGGATGGCAATTTGTGTACTGCAGAAAGAAATGGCAACCTACTGCGGGAAAAATCGAAAAGATACATGATCTTCTAAGCGTATATCACGCATGGCACATAAGTAATTGTAGTAGACTGGCTCTCAATTTCAATCAAGATTGTTTTAGGTGTCGCCACAGAAGGTTATGACTACACAACCAAGAAATTCCAATTAAACTTGCATTGACATGACTAACATTTAGCTTGGCGAGAATAGTCACCAACAGAGTGCTATTAAATTTTGCACGAGGCTCGGCAAATCTGTGTTCTCATGCTTTGGCCTGATATTTGTTCGAGCGACGGCACATGATCTTGCAGGTAAAGTTACAGTTTTTGGCACTGAAATAATCGTCTTCGAAATCAAGATTGTTACCAGATGTAGTTACATAATGTTGAAAGATTTCCACGGATAAATAATCATATTTCTTTCTCGGCATTTTCCCACCGATTAGATTAAAAAAAGAAATGCTGTGACATCACCAATGATAAGTGCACTGAATTACGTTGCAGTTTTTTGATTTTTTTTTAAACGGAGTGGCTCAATGGTTACCACACTGGGTACCTTACTCGATATGCCACCTGAAAAGATCCAAATTTCACATTTTTATGTAATTAGATACTTTTTAACGTTGAAACAAGATTAATGTGAAAAATGCCATCGCTGTGTAGGCATGCAAAGTTCGCAATGCTGAGATTACTTTAATCATTGCACCCCAAGGAAAGCGGGAATATTACTAGTACACAGGGGACTACAAAGAGTGATGGGGGATTGAGAGAGTAAAAATGAGAGAAAAATACTGGATATAGAGCGATTGAGAGAGTGAAAGTGAGAGAAAAGTACTGGGTATGGGAGGATTGAGAGAGTGAAAGTGAGAGAAAAGTACTGGTTATGGGGGGATTGAGAGAGTGAAAGGAGAGAAAATATTGGGTCTGGGGGGGGATTGAGACAGTGAAAATGAGAGAAAAGTACTGGGTATAGGGGGATTGAGAGAGTGGAAGTGAGATAAAATAATTATGGGGGGGGGATTGAGAGAGTGAAAATGAGAGAAAAATATTGGGTATGGGGGGTGATTGAGAGAGTGAAAATGAGAGAAAAGTACTGGGTATAGGGGGATTGAGAGAGTGGAAGTGAGAGAAAAATACTGGGTATAGGGGGATTGAGAGAGTGAAAGTGAGAGAAAAATACTGGGTATAGGTGGATTGAGAGAGTGAAAATGGGAGAAAAGTACTGGGTATCGGGGGACTGAGAGAGTGAAAGTGAGAGAAAAATACTGGGTATAGGGGGATTGAGAGAGTGAAAGTGGGAGAAAATAATTAGTATGGGGAGGATTGAGAGAGTGATAATGAAAGAAAAATACTTCGTATGGGGGGATTGAGAGAGTGAAAATGAGAGACAAATACTGGGTATAGGGGGATTGGGAGAGTGAAAGTGAGAGATAAATACTGGTATAGGGAGATTGTTAGAATGAAAATGAAAGAAAAATACCGGGTATAGGGGGATTGAGAGAGTGAAACGGGGAGAAAAATAATGGGTATGGGGGGATTGAGAAAATGAAAGTGAGGGAAAATTTCGGGTTATAGTGTGGCTGAGAGAGTGAAAGAGAAAAATACTGATCATAGAAGGATTGAGAGAGTGAAAGTGAGAGAAAAATACTGGTATAGGGGGGATTGAGAGAGTAAAAATGCGAGAAAATACTGGGTATGGGGAGATTGAAAGTGGGGGGAGAAAATACTTGGTATGGGGGGGGATTGTGAGTGTTATAGTGAGAGAAAATACTTGATATGG